GTAACAGGGAATCATGGGGAGGGACTTCACTTGGGAATGCACGTGAATCCTCAGAAGCCTGCAGAATTCTTAGATACATTCGAAGGGCATTATTGATGGCTAAGACCCCGTTGTAAGCAAGCCGTGACAAAAGCCTGTAAAATCTGAATTACTACTATTGATTTCATTTCATATGAGCACAGGTATGGCCCGGAAAAAAAATCGAGATACAGTGACATTCGCTTATGATTTGAAGTGGTTTAAAATCTATTTATAAGTCGGCTGCTGAGATGTGAGCAAACTGCTTTATTAGGCTAAACTATTAGAGTGGGGCATTGCTGCTACCACCATGAACTCTGCCACGGAAAACAAAATAAGCATAGGCATTGTTTTGAACCATATACTGTGTGTATTGCCATCGTCAGAACCCTCCCCCAACCCCCGCACCTCTGCGCACCCATAGCAATAAATTTGCGTGCAGTGTTTGTAATGAGATAACCCAGGATGGTAGTTCTCAACCTGCGGGTTGTGATTCCTTTGGGGGTCCAATGGCCCTTTCACGGGGGTCGCATATCAGATATTTACATTATGATTCATAACAGTAGCAAGATTACAGTTATGAAGTAGCAATGCAAATAATTTTATGGTTAGGGTTACCACAACATGAGGAACTGTATTAAGGGGTCACAACACTACAAAGGCTGAGAACCAGCAGTTTAGGATAGCCTGGTAAACCTGAATTTTTGTTATTGCACAGTGCTAGTTGACCTGGATAAGTCCTAACCTCACTGAGCCCGGGTCCCTTTCTTGTGGGATAAAAACAAGCCCTTCTTTGAAGGATGCCAAGAAACTCCATGATGGTGAATAAATTCTGAACAGTCATGAGGAATTAGCATGGCTCGCATCTTGTCGCCGCTGCATTCATCTTCAGCAATAAATCAGTGTTACACATGCTTCAGAAGACTAAAACTAATGAAAGGAGCAGCCTGCCTTACTCATCTCTGTGTCAGCTCGTCTCGCTCAGAGACAGTGGCGAGGAGTCTGTGGGTGGCGAGATTTCCAACCTTACCGCCAGCCTGCTCAGGAGTATCCCAAGCACAGAATGGTTTGGACCAAAAATCAGTCCAGAGAGCCCAAGACTGTTTATTAAGTCACCAGATACACAACAAGAGTAGATGTAATAGGTCAAATCAAGTGTCTCAGGAGCATAAGACATGGGTACAAAGGACAGAACGTTAACTAGAAGAGACAGAAGCTGGCAAACGCTCCCTGTAAGGAGTCAGAAGGAAATCGGTTTTGGCTTTATAAGTCACATGATGTTCTAGGTTTCTTTCTGCTGCTTTGAAAAAAAAAAATCATTCCGACCAAAAGCAACCTGGGGAGGAAGGATTTCTTTGTCTGATACATACGGGTGGCAATCCATCATTGAGGGAAGCTTGAGGCAAGAGCCATGGAGGAGGAGCACTGCTTGCTGGCTCAGTCTCTGGCTCACTAAGCTGGCTTCCTTACACAGCCCAGGCCCACCTGCCTAGGGACGGTACTGCCCACAGTGGGCTGGGCCCTCCTAGATCAACCAGCAGTCAAGAAAATCACCCAGAGACTAGCCTCCTGCTCAGTCTGATCTAGGCAATTCCTCGATTGAGGCTGACTCTCCCCAAGTTGAGTCCAAGCTGTGCAAAGTTGACAACGAAAACCGACCAGCACACGGGGTCTCCTTAGCAACCACCCACCGTAGTCATTTCCTCACAAAGGCAGCCATGCACAGAGTGGAAGGGAATGAGAATGACTATATTCCGGTCAATTATATTTAAAGGGTGGGTGTAGGCTGCATCGGGCCCCGGGGCTGTGGTTTGCCAATCCCCTCGATAAAGCCTTGTCGAGCTGCCAAAGAGGATTTAGAACAAAGCTGAAAGTAAAGCCAGGTGGGGACACAGACCAGGAAAGTTGCAACCACTAAGCACAAGAGAAGCTCTCCATGAGGTTCAAGCACTAAAACAAATACAAGCACAACTCAAGAGAGAATATATATATATATATATTTATATATTTATGCTGGATCAAAGCTAATTTTATTCAAGAAGCACCACAGCTGGGTGGGTAAAACGCCAGCTGTACAGGCAAGAGGACTTGAGTCCCCAGTGCTGACATAAGAGCAGACTATGCTAACACATGCCTTCAATCCCAGCTCTGGGTTGGCAGGAGTGGGGGAGGGGAGCAAAGCCTAGCACATCCTGGTGGTTCACTGGCTGGTGGTTCACTGACCGGCCAGTCAAGCCCAAAACAGGTGAGCTCAGGTCCTGTGAGAGAATCTTCAAAAAGGAAAAAAAAAAAAAAAATAGGGCAGAGTAGTGATTGAGGAAGACATTCCATTGTCTACCTCTGGCCTCCGCACACATACACACTCAGGTCAACACAGAGAACACACACACACACTCACACACGACACTCAAAAGTTAAGGAGTTTGGGGGTTCAGTGCCTACTGATTGTTGGACCAATAGTGCAATGTGGCCCTAAGGCAATCAGGTGAGCTGTTCATTCCGCCTATGAAAGAGAGCGAGCATCCAGGATGGGGCAGACAATACCGCTATGGAGGCGGACATATTTCAGTCACTATCCTTTAGCTTACCATAGTGCCTGACAAGCAGGGGCTGTTTCGGGGACGTATTTCCCCTGGCTGCGCTCTGGCTGGAGAAGCTCTGTCTGCCCTAAGAAGGTCTGTCCTGGGGTCAATGGAAAAGAAGTATCACCCGACTTGGAGGTGAAAGGTAAGGAGAGAGGGGGAAAGTAGGGAGGGTACCGAAATGGACCAGACGGGAAGGGCTGCAGCGTATTCCGTGACTCTCTGGCCAGGGTTCAATTTAAATGCACGTTGCTTCCAGACCTGACAGTTCATGCTTTCTAGAGGGAGGCAGGCAGGTCTCCATGAGTACTAGGCTAGCCGGTTTATATTGTGAATTCCAGGCCAGCCATAGCTACGAAGTAAAATTCTGGGGGCTGGAGAGATGGCTCAGCAGTTAAGAGCACTAGCTACTCTTCCAGAGGACCGGGGTCCTTTCCTAGCACCCACATGGCAGCTCACAGCCACTTGTAACTTCAGTTCCAAGAGATATCATGCTCTCTTCTGACCTTAGTGGTCCCTGCATTCGTGTGGAACACAGACATGCATGCAGGCAAATTACCCTTACACAAAATAAAATAATAATCTTTTTAAAAGACCTCTAAAAATGGGGGGAGCCACCATATCTATTTCTGAAGACCTCAATTTCATTTTTCTTTTTATCCTTACCTGGAAGAGAAGAAGTTAATGTGTTGCTTGGTTGTTTAAGAAAACATTTGGAATGATTCAAATGAGGCCTTAGAGGAAGTTGGATTAAAGAACCAGCAGGTCTATGGTGGGAGTTGTCACAGCCACTGATAATCTGCTTGCAAAGGAGCAAAGGAACTAATTATCTTTGGAGAGGACTGTGTGCCTGATAAAATAATTAAAAATAAATGACTCTCCTTAGAAATGCAAATTACTAAGTACTGAAGAAACCCTGGTGGTCACACAGACAATAAATAGATGTGTTATCTGAGGTCCTTTACTTGATTGATTTTCAGTTCTGGCTACAACCAGGCCTGCACAATGGAAACAGCTCTTGAAAGCCTTAAACTATGATGCCTCACCCTTGCGACTTTATATGGTGAAATTAGGAAACTCAGGAATCAGACTTGACCTGCTGCTTCCCTTGAGCCCGAACTCTGACAGGGAACATTATGGCAGACCCCTCTCCCAAGTTCTACTGAAACTGTTCCCTCCTACCCAGTACTGTCAAAGAAAAAAAGGCATTGGCCAAGCACTATGGTGGCAGGCTGTGGGGGGTGGGGCAGGGTGAGGAGGAGACAGGAGGTTTTGGGAGTTGGGAGTCAGGGATGTTCTTTAGTAATGACTACTAACTCTTAAATGAGGCATGCCAACATGTTTCTTCTCCTTCTCCTTCTTCTTCCTCTTTGTCCTCTTTTTTTTTTTTCTCCCCAAGACAGAGTTTCTCTGTATAGTTTTTTTGAATTCTGGTTTTCCTAGAATTCACTGTGTAGACCAGGGTGGCCTCCTCAATCTCAGAGATCCACCTGCCTCTGCCTCCTGCATTCTGGAATTAAAGGTGTGCATACCACTCCCAGCACCAACACATGCTTCTAATCCCAGCACAAAGAAGATGGCTTTGGTAGGGAGAAGACCACTGTAAATTGGAGGAAAGCCTAGATTACACAGTGCAGGAATATATGGTGAGATCAAGGTCAAGGCTAACCTGGGCTATATTGTAAGACCGTTTCTCAAGGAAAACAAAACAAAACAAAACAAAACAAAAAAACAACAAAAAACCCTCCCCCAAACCATAAAGTACAAAGCCAAATGAAAGCTTCAAAAAGCCCACAACATGTTATCCTTTTGTCAAAGAACCAATATTGATTAGACACCTCCTCTTACACTTTTCAGTAGGCATTTGTAAAAGAGATTAGGAAAAAATTGGATTTCTGCCTAGAAAAAAAGTTACATACTGACTGGGGAGTCAGATTCCGGGCAACCAAGTCCATGCTCTCAATTCTTCTTGCTTTCCTGACATGAGGTTTTTCCTACATTTCTTATCTAGAAGAAAATGATTTCCCTCGTGACTGGGCCAAGCTGATGTTTTCAAGGGAATAGGTGATGCTGGAGAGGAAGGAAGGCTCACCAGCTGGTGTTCTTCTCTTTCCAGAGGAGGGCTGAACCTCCAGGAGGTGAGGTCTGTGTAAGTTGAGGCAATGATGATATCTACTTCTGAAGGACAGAAAAAAAAAAAAGAAAGAAAGAAAAAAGAAAAAAGTACGATGGGTGCTACACAAAGAAACACTTAACAGGATCTGGTAAACAACAGAGGCTCTCGACATGTGCTTTCTGGTCCCTAGGTAACTTGGCCAAGGTCTGAAGCAGAGTTCATTCACCCTGGCTGGTCCAATCCGGTTCCTCCACACTCCTTCCACCAGCATGGGCACCTCGAATTCAGCAGCCTTCACCTTCCTCCCCGGCTTCCTTCCGAAGTGTGCTCCATTCTCCAGTGGTCCCTTTCATGCCCACCCAGAGAGCTTCTTCTTTCTTTGCACTGAGACTCAGCCGAGACAACTTCCTGGCCTTCCGGTACAAACAGAGGAGGGAAAGGAGCAGAAGCAACAGCAGGATGACGGGGCAGACGATGAGGAAGTAGAGTAAGGGTTCAGAGGAGCAGATCCTGGAGGAGAAGGTGGGTTCTGCAACCAGAGAGAAACACAGAAGAGAGATATCAATGTCCAAATTATCTGGGCCAATTAGTCCCTATGCACTATCATAGGCAGGTCAGCGCAGATAACAGGGCGGCTTGGCACATGCCTTTCATCCTTCAAGAATACAAGACAGAGCACTGGGAGAACAGGCCGAGGACATTCCCCACACACACCTCTTCCCCTGCCTGGCCATGGCAGCTATAGAGCTGCCAATGACCTACTTAGAACCACCAGCCAAAAAAGAAAAGCAAAACAAAAAAGAAACCCTTTCCTTTAATCTTCTTCCCTCGGAAAAGATATGTATAATTCAGCCCTCGTTCTCAACTGTGTAGCTGGCCCTGAATTTTTAACTGAGCTATTCCCACTGCTGCTCCTGAAACTCACAGTGCGCTGAGCTGCCCTCCACAGCAGCTGTAAGTATGGAGGAGGGTGCTTCCTTCCCGACCCATGTCACACAGGTAGCCCAGCCCAGCTCCTTGGCCCCCCATGCTCAACTGTTATTTCCTGTACCTAAGCTACTGCACACAGACCCTGTCTGGTTGGATCTCATTTCTCCCAGACTTCTTACACAGCCCAGTTCTTACCCCCACCCCCACTTCACAGAGCCCTTTGTTTAGGCTCCTTTCTTCCCTGGATTGAGACCATCTAACAATGTCCTACGTTCCTGCATCGTCCACAGCGCCTAGACATGTGCTCAAGAACTTTTGCTGAGCTGAGCGAAACCAAACTGACCGCTGCCACGGGGTCAAAGATACAGTACAGAGGCCTGCCAGAGCACGTGATCCCCTGGGAGCTGCAGTTGGCTGGGAGGGCAGCAGCAGCAGAAAAACAAGTGGGGCAATGGAGTTCCTGGCCACTTCCCAAGGAAGCAGGGCTAAGGGGACTCCAGGCGCCCCAGGTGCTGGGAAACGGCGCCCTGAGCTAATGGCCAAAGGCCCAGGGTAGAGGCGTTCAGCGGGAATCCATACTCACCGTAGTCTTCCAATTACGCTTATGACATATTTGAAACTGGGGCTGTTCTGAACAATCTGATGCTAACAGTGGCTGTGCTTTGCTTGGGAAGCTGCCACGACACGAGCATTCTCTTCTTCAAAGGTTACGCCACAGAATTTACGAGATTATAGATTCTCGGCGATAAAAACAGTTTTAATAGGTCATTTCTGACCAACCTTCTGCTGGAAAAAAAAAAAGTCCCTTTGGGGCCTCAGAGATGCACTAACTCCGAAGACTGCCTCTTTGCTGGGAATAAAGAGAGAACCCAGACATTTGCTTGAGGCTGGCACTGCGAGCTCCTTGAGGGTGGGACTGTGTCTTACGTGTCTTTGTTTCTTGTGAAGCATGTCTTCTAGAAGGCCTCTAAGATCCTGAGAAAGGAATCAACTGCCAAGTGTATGCCCCATGCCAGAACCGGGGTGGCCACCGTCATGCTATGCAGAGTGACGGTCCTCGGTGGACGTTCGTCTGTCAGTTCTGAAAGGGGCTGGCACGAGGCTGCAGAAGCTGGTGGCCTGGATTTTTTTTCCTATTCTCGTTTGTAGTCTTCATCTTGCATCTCATTTTTCTCTTCTTGAAAAACGTGATCAAAGACAGAGACCGATTTTGACCTTTTTTTGTTTGTTTGTTCTGTTCTGAGGCAGAATCTCACAACATAGCCTGAATGACCCTCGAACTCATGATCTTCCTGCCTCGGCTTCCCAAAGGCGAGGGATTATAGACGTGTGTCACCAAGGCTGGTTTAATTGTTAACTCTTCTCTGTCCTCCTCCTGCATTCTTCTCCCCAGTGATCCAGGTGGACTCTAATTACTCTCCCAAGTCTCATGCAGTGATGCTCGCAAGCATGGTCAAAGAATAGGCCAGACTGCTCAGCCGTACTTACCGACAGAAACTTCTTTTTATAGCAACAGCCACTGTCAGGAAATGGCAAGCCCCCTACAGAGAGCCCATCTATGAAAGTGTAAACAGTCTCCTCAGGTGTCCAGACTCCTGAGAATGACAGGCAGCCATGATTTTCACTTCCCCAAGGAAGTTTACAGACCTCAAGGTTAGACTCCCTGAGCTATCGAAAGGGTAGCAGTGTTGATGCGTCGCTCCACCCATATGATGGGGTACACTTCAACGAGATGGGCCCCTCTTTCTCGCTTTTTTCATGTCCTCAGAGCTGTGCATCTTTTTCCTGGAATCTCCTCTCCACTCCACCCCACCCACTCGGCAGCAGCAGGTAAGTCAGATATAGGCTGGCTGCAAACACATGATGTGAAACCTTCCCCTTCCTGAGACCTCTCAGAGGGGACCTCCTGCTTTGCCCGTGGGCCTGAACTCTCATTAGGGTGTCCCACCATGCTGCTGTCTATCCTTGGCATTAATAACACTGGGAATAAACTTCTTACCCAAAAGAACACTCTGCCTTGGTGTCTTTCTTGACCCCAGACCCAAGACCTTTCATTGAGAGAGGATGGAGCCAGGGAGTCCCTGTTAAAAGACTGGCCATGAGCATTCCGACAGGGGAGTGAATGAGCACCAATTCTGTTTCAGAGAGATCTTGGTTCAAATCTTCCCTCTTTGCTCACTCTTACAAACACTGGATAAGTTATTCACCTCCCCAAATCCTTTGTTACCTTAACAACTAAGCAGGGATAATAAGCTATAAAGCTGCCATATGATGAGATAATATGTAATATAATATTTAATACAATACCTAGGCCATTTGTTGAGTGGACAAGCAAACAGACATTAGCTAGAATGTTCCTGGGAATGCTGGGAAACTCCCAGGCAACCCTCTCCAAGCTTGCTGAGTCTTCATAGAGACCTCAGCTCCTTAGTTTGGATCTGGAATGTCTGCTAAAGGGCCAGATAGCAAAGGTTTGGCCTCAGCTTGGTGCTACTGGAAAGTAGTGGGTCCTTTAAGAGGTGGGGCTCAGTGGGAGGTCAGAGGTCATTGGGAGCACAGCTTTAAAGGGGACAGTGGAATTCTGGTGTTCTCTCTGTCTCTTTGTGTCTCTCTGTCTCTCCCTCTTTCTCTCTCTCTCTTTCTCTCTCTGCTTCCAGGATGCCAAGAGGTGACAAGCTTCTCACAGTGCCACACCCTCTTACCCACCTTGCTGCTAGCCCAAAGCCATGATCAACTTGGGCCTGAAAACTCTAAAACTGTGAGACAAAATAGGTCCTTCATCCTTATATGTTATCTCAGTTCTCTGTCCCAGAGACGGGAAACTGACTAACACAACAGACTTCTCACTTTCTTTCATGTCCAAATCTTTCCCCTCAGTGGAAAAAATCAAGTGATTCTTTCGAAGACTCTGGATGTGGTGATTTGAATGGGAAATCCCCATCCATCGCAGGCATTTGAACACTTGGTCCCCAATTGTTGGTGCCGTCTGGGGAGGTTCAGGAGGTATGTCCTTGCTGGAGGAAGTATGTCGCTGTGGCAGGCTTTGAGTTTAAAAATCCACACCAATTCTGGTTCGCTCTCTCTGCTTTGTGCTTCCAGTTCAACGGGTGAGCCCTCGGCGGCTATGCTAGCTGTCGCGCCTGCTAACTGCTCCTCTATTTGGCTGTCATGGCCTCTAACCCTCTGGAATCAAAAGTCCAAACCAATTCTTTGTTCTATAAGTTGCCTTGGTCACAGAGTTTCATCACAGCAATAAAAAAGAAACTAATACACTGGCTTGCTCTCCAGTCAGGGGTGGTAGGGAATCAGGAGGTGAGTCTGTGGCAAGTCTTACAGATGCTGGGATGGCAGTATGATGATGGTGAAATGGGGCAGACACACAGGAAATAGTAAGAAATCTGGTATTGGGCTATTCTGCCCCTGAGACTCTAGCCTTCAGCATGAAGGAACTGTCTTCATGGGAGGAGGATGCTCCATTTGGAGCAATCTGCCACCATAGGGCAGCACAGTGCCCTCTTCACAGAGCTGAGTTGGCCAACAGCGAGCAACTGTCAGCTCCAGCGCTTCTCAATTGCCTCCCGGGGGAGGGCACTGTTTGCTCTGGATCCTGCAGTCACCATTTCCCACCATCTGCCTCTCACCCATATTTGGATGAGAACTGGTGACACTCAAAACCATTATAGTTTGGCATTTTGAATCAATCCAAGTAAGTGCCCCAGACTCAAAGTACAAGGCCTGCAGAATGGAGCCAAAAAAACATAATGAACACACTTCATCCTGAACAGTTTCCTTCTGCCCACAACCAGGCACACACGAAGAGCTTTTCTTTTGGACACTTCCTCAGAAATGCTGATGAGAGAGAGAGAGAGAGAGAGAGAGAGAGAGAGAGAGAGAGAGAGGATAAAGGTGCTTCCAATCTCTCGACATCTCCATTCAGAACTTGGGCCATGTGAGGTCACTTGAGAGAGCTAGCCCTTGCCAGGAATTAAGAGTGGGGTTTGATCTCTGTAGCAAGTACATCTCAGAGCAAGTGGCCCCTGACAGCTTCCTGTTTTAGCCTAATTGGAGGTGAGCTTGTTCATTCCTTCATCAGGTGTTAGTTAAGTGCTTTGAGGCAGACCTTGTTGAGTAACACTGGGGAAAGGAAACACATGGCCTCTCTAGAAACTTCAGTGTGGTAGGAATGCATGTCTTTTTTAAGAATCCACTTCTAAATAAACCCTCATCTAAATAAAAGCTGAGGTATAATAATGAGTATTATACTGACACAAATAATCCAACCCCATACAAAGCCTTAGGGACTGGCCTATCACTGCATCAAGATGATTTTTTTCAGAACAGTATTACTGGCAGTATGCTTGCCTGGCATGTATATGACCCTGGGTCTGATCCCCAGTGTCATATCAATTTGATGTAATGAAGTAGATGTGTAATCCTATCACTGAAGAGGCAGAAGCAGGGGGATTAGAAGTTGAAGGTTATCCTTGGCTAAATAGCATGTGTGAGGACAGCCTGGGATCTATGAAACCTTAACTCAAAAAAAAAAAAAATCCCAAATGAAAGGATAACACATTTGTATTTAGGATCTGGAGGTGAGGTTAGAAAGAATCAGCCTTATGGCCCTTACCCTATCGAGTCATCATCATAATAATGGCAGGGCAGCAAGGTCCAGTACATGTCTGTCTGCCTCTGCTCAAGTCATGTGATCCATGGCTCTTTCTTGCACCCTAAAACCAACCACCTCTGGCGTGGTCAAACAGAGGAGGCAGAGACATGAAGAGCAGTGATAAATTAAACTGTATTTGATTTGGATTCTGTCAACATGCAGAATTGGCACTCAGCAGGAACAAGACCTCGAGCTGGCAAACATCGATGCCTATCTTGGGTGTCAGGCCAGAGCTGAAAGACGCACAATGCCTGTGTATTCTCAGAGTATGTGTCCGCTAGTAGTGATGTGTGTGGTACAGGTAGCTGCAGGGTAGTGGCTAAGAGAAGGTAAGTCAGAGGGACAGGAAGGCTTAGGTGCAGAAGGGGAAGGGTGGCATGGAGGAGCAGCTAGATGCTGGGCTGTTCTATGGGCTTCATCCCCCCCCCCCACTGTCCCTTCCCCTCTGTACCGCTCCTGGGCCTACCAGCTTGAACCCTAAAATTCGCCAGTGCTTTCTGCCATTTCTCATGGTCTTCTCTCTTGCCCTTTACAGGTCTTGAGGAAGCAACGTGCATCTGACGTGTCTGCTCCTCAGCCACCTCAGGCTGCCTTTCTTATTGCTTTTCTGCTCCCACCATTTAGGTCCTGAGGAGGTGTTTCCATTCTTCGTGTGTATGTGTGTGGGTGGAATATTTGCAGGTGGCTTCCTCTACCACTCTGCCCTGTCCCTTTAAGGCAGGGTCTCTCCTGTACCCGTGGCTCACGTTACTTTTCACCTAGGCTGGCAGGCAGCAAATCCCCAGAGAGCTTCCTAACTTTGCCTCCAACAGTTCCGGGTCACAAGTGCATATGAGGTCATGCCTGGTTTGTTGCCTGGGTACCGGGACCTGAACTCGGGTTCTCACGGTTGCACAGCAGTGTTCTCAAGCACTCAGGCATCTCTTTAGCACCCCCGCTCTTACCTTAAACAGCTGCTTTGTGTTGCTCAGTCTCCTGGCTTTCCCTTGCCTTCTGATAAGCTATTCTGGTTCTCCACTACTGACGCAGGGTGCTTCGCTTGGGTGTCCCTCCTTGAGCGTCATTACTGGCCACACAATGATAGTTCCTAGTGTACAAGTCGGGTGCAGTTTCACCTATGGAATTCCCACTATCTCCCAGATAAACGCTTCTTGGAAATTCTCTTTGAGTTGTGTAAGCTCAACTTACACACATTGGACCTATCTCCCCTGCTAAGCCTTGGTTTGCTTGCTCGGTAAATGACTTCTACCTAAGCCCCAGTACAAATTTGCCTCCTCTGCTCGCTCACTGCCCATGGACTGTCTATACAATCAACCTCCTAATACCTTCTGCTTATTCTTCCCTCCTGCTCACTAGCACTGTCTGACCTCATGCCTCCATCTTGCCTCATCTTGGCTACAGTTTCATGGAGCTTTCCCTCCCTCCACTTCAGCCTCTCTGCTGCACCCAATGGGAACTTTCTAGATGTGACTCCAGTGGGGTCACTGCCATCCTTGAATTTATTCAGTAGCACCTCATAGGCGTCACTATAAAGTGCCCCCTCATTTTCTACACTAAGCGCACACACTGAGCTCTGTGCCTGTCCCCACCTCCATGCCCTCATCTCTTAGCCTTGTACTGTACGCTCCGGGTTGCAGCCCTTCCTAACCACTGAGGTTCCCTCGCTCTGACATGAAGTTTTATATCCTTTTGCCTTGTGTACCTTTTATATCCTTGTGTACCTTTCCCTAAGATAGTTTTCTCTTTTCTCATACATCCATGCTCTAGGGAACCTTCCCAGATTGCATCCCTACTGGACTCTTCACTCCAGTTCAGCTGCCCCCTCAGCATCCCGAGACTATGTCTCTGATGACAATTATCACAGTGGGTTCAACTTTCCCCATTCTGTAAGAACAATCTCTGCCGTATGCAGTTTTGTGTGCTCAGACCTCATAGGATTATTTATTGAGAAAGCTTAAATAGTCTGCAACTATTATATAGACGGGTATAAGCATATATATGTATGAATGTATGGTGGTGTATGAGTCGTCAGTGTCACAGAATCTGCAATCACCCAGAGACAGGCAAATCTGTGGAGGATCATCTTGATTTTGCTAACTGAGGTGGGAAGGCTTGCCCACTGTGGGCAGCACCATTCCTTAGACTAAGATCCTAAAAAGGAGGAAGTGAGCTGAGCATAAGCACTCATTGCTGACTTCTTCCTAACTGCAGATACAATGAAACAAGGCACTTCAAGCTCCTGCCTCATTGACTTTCTTACCATGATGAACTGTATCTTTTTTTTTTTTTTTTTTTTTTTTTCCCAAACAGGGTTTCTCTGTGTAGTCCTGGCTGTCCTGGAACTAACTCTGTAGACCAAGCTGGCCTCCAACTTGCAGATCCACCTGCCTCTTTCTCCCAAATGCTGGGGTTAAAGGCAAGTGTCATCACTGCCCAGCTGAACTGTATCTTTGAACCAGAAGCCATAATTAATCTTTTCTCCTCTTAAGTTGCATGCTGTTTTATGACAGCAGCATGAAAAGAAATTATGACAGTGTGCGTATATGTATGTAACAAGTTTGGTTCAAGGCATAAAGGAAAAGGAGTTAACATTTATTCAAACCTTATATCATGCCAGTGTATCTACCAGGTTTTAAAAAAAAATTGTATTATATCCTCTTTTTATGAGAAAGCCAAATACCATACAAGTAAACATGGTCTGATGACATGGCTGGTAGGTGGTGGGGCTGCTATCTGAGTTTAGGCTTATCTGACTCTAACCCTTAAGTACTTTTTAATCACTCCAGACTCCCCCTAACCACCGGCCAGGAGCGGCAGGGTGGAGCAGGCCAGTTGCTCCGTCACAGGCTTTCCTTGAGAACACATAGTGTTAGTTGCAATGAAAACCTTGTTGGCCATGGCACAAGCTGGAGAGCTTTTTCAGAGGAGACACAAACGACTCCATTTTTTAATGTCTCCTTCCAGAATTCATTTTTTACACCTGTTCTGCACGATCTCACATAGATTATGCTGTACAGCGTCTCACCTGTCTCAGAGGAGATGTGCTTGCTAGTCACGGAATCTGTCCCTTTTATGGTTGTTATCTATTTATTCTACTGTAAAAACTGCTGACTCTGTAGAGCCCATGAATTCCAGAGGAAAACATTTGTGGGGTGTGCTCAGATGTGTGGAATATCCTCTAATTGTTGGAATAAGAAGCCGATAAAAGAAATCTGCCTGGACACTTGGAAGAAAAAAAGCATTACTGAAGACTGGATGTGAGGGAAGGATGGCAAAGCCCTGAAGACTAGACAGGGAGAGAGAATGGTGGAGCCCCAGAGAACGAGTCAGATGGAGCCTGACTGGGATGCAGTGATGCCCTCTTTGCCTGGGAGGAATTGCCGTTCTGTCACCAAAGCCAGCTGGTCTCCTAAAAATATCAACTGTATGATAAATTCCATTTATCTTTCCTGAGGTGGAGTACCAAGACTCTGCCTAAGTTTTTCTAGTGATGCTTTTCCAACATAAGCTCAGCCTGTAGTCCACCTTTCACCTATTTTGAGTCTTAGTAGAATGGAAAGAAGTAGCTAAGATAATGAGCTGGCAGATACTATCCCTAGCCACAGTTTATTGGTCTAGCTGGAAGAGACTGTGCTTTTTATTAACACACACCTAATAGATGCCCATCATATGTCTGATACTGCATTAGGATGAGACATTGGCTGGGGATGACTTTCCCATATAAAGAAAGTCACTCTTTGGTCAAAAGCCTTTGGGTGATGGTTCTCTTTGTTGGAGTCTATAAGGTAGCTCTATGTGCCATCCATCTTTCTTTGACATCTTCCAGGACACAGTGATACAAGGGAAAGAGGACACCACATGACTATTGCTATCATTTTGGCCTTAAGTGATTATCTCATCCCCTAATAGGTCCATGTGGAAAAGACTTGCTCCTCAGTTTGGTTTCACTAGGAGGTGGTGGGGCCTTTAGGAGATGGTTCTAGCGGGAGAGCTTCCTGTCACTGAAAGCATGCCATTGGAGGGGGACAGGGAGACAACTTTTCCTCTCTCTCTCTCTCTCTCTCTCTCTCTCTCTCTCATCCTAGCTATGAGGCAAGTGGTTTTGCTTCCTCAGCCACATGCTCCTGTCATGGTGTGCTGCTGCAGACCCAGTGTCACAGGACCAAATGACCACAGATCAGAGTCTCTAAAGCTTTGAGCCACAACAGTCATTCTATCCCTTCAAGTTGGCTATGTTTGACTAGCAATATTATCAAAGCCCTGACAGTTTGGTGAAGAGGCAGACAGACAGAGAGACAGACACAGAGACAGAGAGGGACAGAGATCCCAGCACTGGTTCTTCTCTTGATCAAGGGAGTATTTGGGAGTGACCGACTGTGGTTCAGGTGTGTAAAACAGCAGCGTTATCGCCGCAACCATCACCTCATTCTGCATTGTTTTCTTTTCCACTGCAAAACAGCATCTGGAGATTAGAGGATCAGCCAGGAGGTAAGAACTGTGCTGGCTGAACGTGCTCTTCTGATATTGGAGGCACACACGAAGTTGTGGGCCTTTTGCTTGGGAAGGGAAGGGAAGGGAAGGACAGGTCAGATGTGCCCATTAGTCAAGTGTGTGTGCCCAAACCCCACCTAGACCTTGCTGCTTGAGTTACTATGGAGAGAGGCAGAAAAGTCATCTCCTTTAAGGAATCTGAAAAAGTGCCCTTAGCCTGAGGAAAGAAAGGCTGGGAGGGAGCACCGAGGGGAGCCGGTATGTCCATGAGCCAGCGGCTGATTGACCCCCGAGTTACCTGAGGACAGCACCCTGAGCACCATCCGCGGCGACTCATCCGAGGCTTGGTTGATCCACCTGCCAGGGTGGCCATGTGGCTGCCACTCCGTCACCCTGCACCAATACACGCCGGCATCGTCCACCTCCACCCGATGCAGCTTCAGGATGAAGTCCGTGGGAGAGGAGCGGAAGCAGTGCAGGAGCCTCCCGCGGCCCTCCGGGCCGTACTCCAGCAGGCCGTCGTACTGAAGGTGCACCAGCATCTGACCCGCCGCGTTCCCTCTGCTCCGGTACCACGTCACGGAGTACAGCGAGGCAGTGCCGCCTGAGCCGTCCAGGCTGCAGCCGATGTCCACCTCTCCGTGCTCGCTGGCGTTTCCCATCCAGCTCACTTTGGAGACTCGAACCTGACTTCCTGCGAGGCAAAGTGGTGGACGGTTAGAGAAAAAGCAGACTTCCGGCCCGCTCACCTCTGAGCCCCGCATCATTTCCACTGCGAGACCTCATCTGGCATTCTCCAGACATTAGGACCTTCATCATTAATGTTTTCCTTTGATCCTTCTTCACACCTGCCGGAAGATTCTCTGCTACGAACCAAGCTAAACATTTCCCTCTTTTAGCCTGACCTCTTGCCTGATAGAGCTTCCTACTAAAATGGACACAACCTCAGCTGGGCTTGAAGCTTTTGCCTGACTTTGAACTTCCTCCTTGATTTCCCACAGGTGCCGTTCACAACTTTCAGTACTCCGAATGTTATGTACCGTACTAGTACTGCTCCTTATGAAATCACCTTCTCCCACCACACCCAGATACTATCCATTGTTCAGACACGCTGGGAGACAAGTGTCAGAATACCACCCAAGGCAACCATCTCCGTTATTAATTAGCATGCCTTAAAGAGCTTTGGGCCTTCCTTTTTCCCCCTCCCCCACTGACCAGCAGGTGAGGACTTGGAATGGCACCCCCAATATTTATAACAAAGAAAAAAAAAAAACAGGAAATTAAGGCCGGAAATTACAGTGTACGTTACATTTTCAACTGTACTACAAATCCATTTATTAATCTGTTTTGTTGTTCTTAAATTTTCTTTTTCGGATCTTAGACTATGTTTAGTCTAATTAGTATTTACTTGTCCTTCATGGGGAAGCACATAAAATCTTAATTCATATAAAATCTTCTGTGCCCTTGCCTCAGGTCACCCCCTCTTTGATTGCAAGCTGGTTTCTGATCCAAAGCCATACTCCACCAAGGTCCAGTTTCAAGCTCAAGAGACCCTTTCAGCCTTGGTGTTGTTTCCACTTTGGCTTTTGTCACTAAGGTTTATTTTCTTCTTGAAATTTGAAAGAAAATCTCCTGTTACAGTGATGACCAGCTTGCCTCAGTATCTTATCTCCCTGCGCCTTATTCTTGAATTCATTCCTGACCCAGGTGTGCAGGTGTGCAGTCACATGGAGGTTGGCGTCTTGGTATTTTAAGAGACTCTGGTTAACTATAAACATCCTCAAGTTGAGAAATGTCATCCCGTTACATTAGTCAGGTTTTTGTTTTGTCTTGTTTTTGTTTTTGCTTTTATCACCTGGACAAAAATACCTGAGCAAAACAACTTAAGGAAGTAAAAATTTATTAGTTTCAGGCTCCATGGTCCAATAACATCTATGTTCTGCAGTCTACAAACCTAACACCATGTAGATGGCTGATAAAGCTTAAAATTAGCATGACTTATGACCAGGAGTCCTTGGACCATGGTTTCAGTGGCCTCTTATGTGGCTAAGCCCAGTAAAATGGATCCTACAGAACCAACTTCCTATAGAGCTCATTGTGAGCAGTGGACCCCAGCCATGTTGTTCTCACTTCAAGGGAAAGCCATAAAGAAGAAAAAAAATCTCATTAGCTCAGGGTAGTCTGTGCCTAAGCCAGAATGTCTTTGAAGTTGTCTTCCTTCTGCCTCAGTCTTCCTAGTTGAATGCTATCACACCTGGCTGTCAATTGAAAATTTTTCTCAAGGAATTTATTCTTTTACATTCTTAAGTCTTTGATGGGTGGGTCTAGCCAATTCCTGAGATGCCTCCAAGGTACCTTTTCTTTTGTACTGGTGCAAAATATGTGAACTAATCTCTAGCAGTCATCCTTTCCTTGACCCCCTGCCCCAACTTTATTGGGCAGATGCCAAGGTTTTCACATCTTTCTGCTCTGTTTTTGCTCCTAATTGTCACTGTAAACCTGGCTAAAAGGAGTTAGCATTAACCATGCCATAGCTTGAGTTGCTATGAAATTTTTTCCTTTTCTTTTGAGTTCAACCTCACTCAAGTCTCAGAGAATGAACAAAATATTTGCCAGAACTCAACATGAATAGAGTCCTCATTTCATGAGCACAGTCTGTCCATATTCCTACCAGATTTTTTTTTCACCAGAATTGCTCATTAATCTCTGCTTAAAACATTCTAGCAATGTTTTGGCCTGCTTCTCCAAACTCTTCCCTCAAGCCAGTTTCAAGTGCTTAAGAACTAGCTCATCAGTTGAGATCACAGCATTGACCCCACCTCTCTGGAATCAGTTTCCTATATTAGTGTTTTGTTGTTGTTGCAGCAAATACCTAAAAGAAAGAGTTTAGAGAAAGAGATGTTTATTCTGTTGACAGCATCAAAGATTTTGGTCCAAAGTCATCTAGATCCATTGTTTTGGGCCTAAGGTGAGGCAGAATTTCATAGTGTTGGAGCTTGTAGCAAAAGCTGCTTTCAGGATGGCAAGGAGGTAGAGAGAGTGCATGCCCACAGCCACGGGCTTCCTTCTTTTTCTACTGTATTCTGTCTGGGACCCCCAGCATATCTGAAGATGCTCTACATATTCCAGCAGGTCTCCCCTTAGCTGATTAGGGGAAATGTTCTCCTAAATACACCCAAGGTGGACTCTACTATCTTCCCAGGCACCTCTCAATGCAATTGATTTAACAGTACAGACTGTGAGAATTCTCTGATCTACTAGAAGATCTAACAATGAGGCCATATTTCTACCTGGAAAACAGGGGCTTGAACCAAGGGATGTTGCCTCCGTAAAACGTGCAGGCACACACAGTCAAGTGTTTGGCTAGGACAACTGGAAGGCAGGGATAGCAGTCGAATAAGGAGACAAAGCAATCATGAGGGTCAGAAGAGATAATAAATGCGACGGGGGTGTGGCCTCTGGGGCATCCAAGTAGAAGTGAACAGTACGGTCTAAAAGCCTAAGGCTTACACTCTCTAAACCCAGAGATTTCGGGTGATTATCTTCTAGGTGATAGTTAAAGCCAGAGCAGTGCTTTAGAAGATCTGAGAAAAGCAGAGACTACGAAACCGAACAGCCTAGGATCACTCGCTCCCTGAGGAGCACCCAAGCTTAACAGAGAAAGGAGAGGGACCACAAGAGAAAGGAGCCTGGACAGAGGAAGAGATCTCTCCCTAAGCTATGTTTTACCTCTGCTTCTCTCACAGAAGCTCACCAAGGGCAGAAGCTGTGTCTTATCTTTGCAGTCCTGTTTCTGGCAAATGGGAATGCCTAGTTACAATCTTAGGTTTGTTTGTTTGTTTGTTTGTTTTATCATCAGCTTGAAATCAGTACTTTAAGCACCCCATTAGATCAAATTATTTACATCACACTGTTGGCTCTTGTCCCGTTCCTTAGCTGTGGCACCCATCTGTTGACTTTAATCAACAGTTAGAGGTGACCCAGCCAGGACTGAGAGACCTAGTCAAGCCTGTCCGCATACAGACAGCAACACTGGTAGACTAGCTGGAATGGATGGAAGTCCCATTACATTTTTAAAGATCTCCAGAGGTGGAGAAGACTCCCACAGTAAGCCATTCCAACAGTTAACTACTCTTATTTGCCTTATGTTTAGGCAGCCAAATGTTGAAAAGCAATTTCTCCACACATCCCCATAGAGTTGTACAGTTTCTGTTCACAGTGGGAGAAATATGCTCTGTATTACTCTTTCTCTGCCAAATTACAGTAGGGCCCCACCGGAGTGACACAGCTTGTTATTATAGAGATCTGGAGATACGAATCCCTGGGCAGCTGCACGGACCAGGCTGCCAAGCTGATAAAGAAACCAGGCAAAGGGATCTTGTTTTCTTTTGAGCTTGAAACCTCATACTGATTCACCTTAAGCAACCTCTCCTCCTCTGGTGGGTTACCAGGTTCTTTAGTCATTTGTAGATGCCTATTATTTCTATGGTCCAGATTATATTTTTTAATCTCTCTATAGTCACACCCTAAAGGCTGCTAAAGAAAATCCTATAGGAAAACAATACTTTTCCAAGGCTCACCTATAGGCCTGAGTCTCAATTCTGTGGATCCTGAAGTCTTTCTTTCAAGCCTTTGCCAAGTGCCATCTGTAGACAAGAGCCATTCCTCCACTGCACAGTGGTAGAAGCCCTGGTCACTGTCTTCCATGCTCAGAATGCTCAGCAGAAATAAGTCTTGGGAAACTTTCTCAGAATGAAATTTTTGCTTGTTCCGAGGGGTTTGAAATTCATCCCCATATTTTACGACATGGGTTTGGTCCATTTCTAGGATCTTCAGATAGGATGCATTTGCAGAGGTGGGAGAGAAATACCAAATGATGGATAGAAAAAGGTTTCCAGTAGATCGGGACAAGATGGCACATTCTATGTGAGTGCTGGCGCTGATGGAGAGCTCTTGGACCTGATTGCTTGAGTTCACTCTCAGTTTGCTCTCTGAAAAAAAAAAAAAAAAAAGAGTTACTTTGCTAGGGGAAAAAAAACCCATCAAAAACAAACAAACAAACAAACAAACAAACAAAAACAAAAACAAAAATGGCATTGTAAGCTAGCATGTGAATTAGGGCAAACAGCCTCTACAGCAGCAGTGCTTCTCAACCTTCTTAATCCTGTGACACTTTAATACCCTTCCTCGTGCTGTGGTGACCACCAATCATGAAATTATTTTGTTGCTACTTCATAACTGTAATTTTGCTACCGAAAAATTATGTAAATATATGATATGCAGGATATCTGATGTGCGACCTGATGTTAAGAACCTCTACTCTACAGCCATCGTGTGGGTAAGTTCTCTCCCAGCAGCTGCCCTAGTTGTTCATTCATCTTTGTTACGACTCAAGAGCTGATGAAGCTGTCTTTTCCATCTTTAAGCTCCGTCCATCTCACAAGCTGCTTGTGGTGAAGAATAGCTGCAAATGTGACCCAACACAAAATTATATACTTACTTCATATCCTATGAGAGTTTGGTACTTTGATTGTAGATAGACTTTCTAGATGAAAATATTTCGTTACAATGCCAAAAGACTAGACACCCCTGTGAGAATTCTGTGTGATTGCAAGTTGATGGTTCTCTCTTCATAACGTCTTTCTGCTGGTCCTCCTTCTATCCTTACCATGTGAGGAGGAGGAGAGCCATGGGAAAAAGCCCAGCTCTTCGCCATGTGATAATATGGTTGTATTTAAGCAGAGCAATCTCTTCCATAGCATGTTTGCATCACTTTGAGAGAAAATGACACCATGAGCGCTCTGTCTGCGTGTGTTTACTGTCTGAACTACTTCTGGATGCCCAATTTGTCAAAGTCTAGTTAGAGCTGCCTTCAGACATGAGTAAACAAGAAGAAATTGTGCATGGACTATTAAAATTCTGTCTTTTTGCAGGCATTCGTTCGTGAGAATATTATATGGATATGGACTCTGTGGCTTTTAACACCAGTGGTTTTTCCTTTGTCATAAGATGCACAATAAATCTCACAAATCTTGTCTTCATTCCTTGTTGATCAATCTACTTTTGTTGATATTGCCATTAGGCCCCTTAATTTCCCCTTCAACAAACATTTGTTAGTTACATACTATGTCACATACTAGGCTATTCTAGGTTATTTTGTGACTAACTCCTGTCAGTGACTCACAGTTTACAGGAAGATATAGATCAGGAACAAAGGCTTCCAGATTATATAATTGGTCACCCATGTAGGACAGAGATATGCAGAAAAGCAACAAATATCAGGACCATCGACTGATTTACCTAACCCAAGAACAGGAATGAGGACAGACTTCCTAGAGGAGGCAACCCGCAACTGAATCTTGAAGATTAATAGCAACCATTCAGATGAATAGAAGGCAAAGGAATTCCGCACAAAAGGGACGATTTGAATAAGTCCCTGAACATGACAGTGTAGTGAGAATTTCAGAATTTGCTTTCTTTAAAAACATGGAACATATTAGGAGAATATGTTTTTGTTTTAATCCCATGTATGGGGATATAGTAGCTGCCCCGTGCTCTGGTAGGGGCGTGATTTTGCCAGCTGCAGAGAGTTTCTGCGATTATGTGATATTTGGAAGTCTGGGACTTTTCAGAGGGCATATAAATGTGATTGGTTGTCAGCTGTTGGTCTCGATTTATTAAGCAGTCATGCACAACAAAGAAACAAGGTGGAGGAGAAGGAAAGGAAGAAGAAGAAATTAGATATTTTGACGGTGAAGATAAAACTTGCTCCAAGGAACTCAATGCCCCTAATCAGCAGGAAGTAGTCTAATGAAAACATCACTTTATTTCCAGCCCCTGACTTTATTCAGAGATCCCTTTCCTTTCCTCCCTCATATCTAGTGTTATGGGGTTGAAAGTGTGGGAAAAGAGTGAGAAAGGGTGGAAGAAATAAGAACCCACAAAGTAGTAAAAGACCAGCTACATGAATGTAAAGGTGGATAATTGAATCCAGGCAGTTCAGTGAGGTTGGAAGTCGGAGCTAAAATGGAAAGTAGGAGGCACTAGAGAAACAGGTGGGTAGGATTATTGAAGATCTTTCATCTCTTGCCATGGGAGTCTGGATATGAGGAGGACTCAGTTTTCCACCTGTGGCTCTGGGAAGTGGTGAGGACCATCAATCACATAATGAACAATACGGAAGGGGTATCTTTGGACAATGATGATGACTTATACTCTCACACAGAGAATAGGTGTGTCTTGGAAGCAGTTAGGTGTGCATCTCAAGACCAGAAGAGAAACGATTCTGGATAATGAACATGGAAGTTGTTAATGGGTGTATTGTATCCATGGATAGAACTTTTTTTACTCTAGAAAAGTGTGGAGAATCAGAAATGTACCAAACTTGTATCCAAATGAATGTGGGTTTTGCTGTTGTTGTTGTTTTTATTGTTTTTAAGACACTGGGCTCTGTGGTATAAATGCTTATCTATCATGGAGGAGAATTGGAAGTTCAAGATCATCCTTGGCTATATAAAAAGTGATATCCTGAGTTTAGGTGGTGGGGAGGAAAGAAAAGCCAAGCATAGTAGCAGAATCCTGCAATCCTAGCCCTTAGCGGGTTGAGGCAGGAGGACTAAGAGTTTCAGGCCAATCTGCACGACAAAAACAAACAAACAAAAAATTAAAATAGTGACTCAATGGAGAATGAGAAGGAATCATTAGTGTTAGGAAGGCCGCCTCATGCCATGGGGCTGAGAGCAACAAAAAGAAAGTTTGTGGAAGCGATCTCAAACACCATGGGAAATGACAGGTAAATTAAGGAATGACTTCATGGGCAAGATCACTGCTATCAACAACAGTATGTCTCAGCAGCACAGAGCGGACAGTGGCTGCCATGCCCGAGTGCCTGCTTTGAGTGCACCACGACACACCCCAGTCCAAGGGCACACCAGCCATTTACAGAGACGGTGACTGAGACAGGGGTAGGTTAAGTGACTCTTCCAAACCTAGTGCTCATCACATCTGAGTGATCTCAAAGTCACCAGTCAGGAGAGAGGAAGCACATGGCATGGCAGCCATCAGCGAGGCTAGGTTTTCCTGGGTTTACACTGTTAGCCTTTGAGTTCTGTTATTAAGACTGAATTTGACCAGAACCATAGATTCTCTTTTACATTAATGTATTAAAAAGGTAGTGTATTTGTGGTGGTTTGAATAGGTACGGCCCCCATAGACTCATGCGTTTGAATGTGTGGTCTTTAAGGAATGGCACGGTAGAAGATGTGACCTTGCTGGAGTGGGTGTGGCCTTGTTGGAGGAAGTGTCTCATCATGGGGTGAGTTTGGAGATCTCCTATTTCTCAAGCTATGCCCAGTGTGGCACACAGTCTCTTTCTGCTGCCTGTGGATCAAGATGTAGAAGTATCAGTTCCTTCTCTAGAGCCCTGTGTGCCTGCACACTGCCATGCTTCCCGCCATGATAATAATGGATTAACCCTCTGAAGCTGTAAACCAGCCCCAATTAAATGCTTTCTTCATAATAATTGCTGTACTCACGTTGCCTCTTCACAGCAATGAAACCCTCACTAGGACAGTATTCTAGAGGAATTTACACGATCCCCACCACTTCCAAACACGAAAAAAATGCTGGGGCACCAGCAGTGACTGACCTAAAAGACTGTCTCTCCCTCCTCCTCCTCCTCCCCCTCTTCCTCCTCCTCCTCCTCCAAAGGGCCCTGGAGGATCCGCTGTGCCACACAGTGTCCTTTAGCTTCTGGCAGTGGGAACTCACAGCAGATGTGGAAAGGCCAAAGAGCAGTGGCTATTAGCTGCTGCGGAAGTATTTCGTTGTTTTAACACCCAGTGTAGCCGTCCCATGTATACTAACCTCATGTCCGTGTTAGCGCATCATGCTCACTCCACCACGACAACTGGGATGAGCAGATGCTTTATGTTAGTTTCTATGCTTTACACAAAGTGGAAAGAGTTTGGTTGCTATTGTTTGAGTGTCGCTATTGGAGCCTAGCCTGACCTCAAGTTCTCAATCCTCCAGTCTTGGCCTCCTGACTACCGGGATCATAAGTGTGCATTATCACACCTGGAAAGAAAAACATATACATCCTTTCCCTTTTAAATGAGTGATCAATTTCAAGTGTCACCTACCTGGAAAGGTGACAGTAATCCTTAATAGGTTGGAGGTGGCAGATGCTCTGGCCGGCCCACTTGTGTGCAGGGAGTTTCTGTCGTAGCCTTCCACCTTACACTGATACACCCCTGCGTCCTCCAGAGCAGCATCGTGGATTTGGAGTTGAGAGCGAAAGGAAGACTGTGAAACTTTTGTCCTCCCGTGGAACTGGGAGAGGACGTCCCCCCATTCGACTGTGCCGTTGTGGGTGATTCGAGTCAGCTGATGAAAGGCTCCGGAGCCGGCTGGCTGGAACCGCCATGTCACTGAGAAGGGCACCTGGAGGTCTGAGTGGTTGGCCCTTACTATGCAGAACAGGTCGAAGGTGTGGGCTAAGGTCACTTGCGGCTGACGGCTCATCAGATTAACTTGTAAACTTGATTCTGTTGAGGGGGGGGAGTAAGACACATTTCCTGTTTACCCAGCCCAAGCACCGGGACTTCCAAGTTTTCTCAATGCCACCCTTCACACAATGCCACCCGTTAGTGTTCCTGGAGCGTCATGAATCGGGGGGTAGAAGTTAGGGCACAGCACAGTGTGTCCCAAACCCCAACCTCAGCTCTCCAAGTCTCCCCCCTCGCCTCTGACTGTCCTCAGCAGCCACAACAACACAGGCAGTGTTTCCGAAGTGTGCCACTCACACAGCTGCGCTGAGCAGGGGCGACACTCACAGCCAGGGGCTGGCTTTTTTCCTCTCCCCACTCAGCGAGTAGAACACTCACAGCCAGGGTCTGGCCTCCTCCCTCTTCCCGCCACCCCCACAAGGTTCAGTGTCAATCTCTTGTCCGTGCTAGAAAAGACTTCGAGATGCCCGGCGGCTGCTGGAACGGGGCAGGCTTGGCTATAGTCATCTGTAAGCCAACTCCTAGTGTGACTTTTGAACAATTTACCAGTTGTACTCTAGGCTGATCTTTATAAAGATGAATAAAGAGGTTGGTGAGGGGCCTGATGTGCAGACCCTGCGGGGTACATACACTGTTGGTGTTAAGAGTACATAGACTGTTGGTGGGGGTTCTGGATGACACCACTCAAACGGCAGTCCAGAAGGGTGTGACTTACACACATTCAGGTAAGGATTTTTCCCCGGGGACTCACTCAGAGATTTTACAGTGGCCGAAATCTTCTGGGTCCACTGCCAATCTTTGGCCTGGTTCTGGGGTCTCTCCGACACTCTGCATTCATAGGTCCCACTGTCTGTGACCTCGGCAGAGGCAATCTCCAGCCGAAAGGTGGCCCAATCCACTTTCTCCAACCTCCTGTTACTACGGTGCCCGGGGCCTGGAGAAGAGACTCCCAGCTTCACGATACCATCTTGCCCCATGGCAGCCACAAACACGGGTGTGGTCTGGGCCTGTGGGGTGAGCCACCAGCTCACGGACAAGGGACTTGCATCCCCAGCTGCCTTGCAGAGAAAGGTAAGCTCCTCTCCTTCCCACACGGCATGCTGCTCAGCAGACACGGTCACACTTCTTGCTGTGGATTATGGAAGAAAAGTGTATCACGTAACAAAAACGTCTCTAAAAAAAAATGATGGAATTGAATTATAAGAACTTTACCTGTTTGTGACAAATCAGAGCTCATTGCTTCCTCCTGTGCCATGCCCAGAACAAAGATCTGCCAAACACTTAAATCGTAAATGGATGGATAGATGGACAGATAGATGGATGGATGGATGGAAAGATAAATGCGTGGGGGGGGGGGAGGGGTGAATGGATGGATAGATAGATGAAAAGATACATGAATGGGTAGAAAGATAAATGGATGGATTGATGGATGATGGATGGATGGGTAGATGGATAAGCGAACTTGGGTATGTGTGCATGTGTGTGTATATAAATAAAATAAAATTTCCCTAAGGTAATTATAAAATATTAGAAACAAGACAGTAGACAAGTGGCCAGGAGAGCCTATGGACACATATATGATTCATAATATATACTTATTTTTCTTATGGTTTTGTTCAGTTGGCCCATTCTGAAGAAAATCTAGTTGGGAACATGTATTTTATTTTACCTGTATAGTATTTTGTTTGATTCATTAGGGTGAGAAAATGAACCTGAAAGTAATGAAGCCTTGATAATTTAAATTTTTAGGTTGTTTGTTTTGTTTTTTAGAATAAGAGCCATCAGTGTTTTTAATATATTTTCCATTTTCCTACTTACCTTTTCCTAGAGAGTCCTTATTAGCTTAGTGTGTATTTTGAACAGGGAAAGAAACTTATTAATTAGATCTCTGTTTGCAATACCACCATAAAAAATAGCTAGTTTTGGAAAAATTTATATTTATATACACTATCTACTCCCATTGGCAAATGACAATCTTCTAATGTTTAAATTACTGTGTCCAACTATACATGTAAAGCTGGCTTCCAGATGGGGAATTGAAGACATAGAGAAAGGCAAACATTCTTTCAACAAACACTTCCTGCGCAGGGCCCTGTTCTGGCTGCTCTGTGGGCCATGGAGGTACAGCAGGAGCTACCCTGCCCTGGACAGCCCAGCACGAAGTGTTAGGCCAACACCCGCCACGACCCGGAGGCAGAATTACTCTGGGCAACACACTTGACCTCTCTGAGCTCTTGTGTTTCTTTCCAGGAAAAAAAATGAAGGTAATAAAAGCAGCCGCATTTTTGCTTGGTTGAGAGGACTGAAGAAAGGCCACACTGAGGTCGTAGGCCTTGGGCGACAGAAAGTACGGAAAAGGGGTTTAGCTACTACCATTAGTGTTTAATAAGAGGCATTGGTGATGGGGGAGGTGAGGGCAGTTCAAAGCAAAAGACTGAAATGGAAGAGAACCGCTGGCACTGGAAATCTAAAGGCGATCTGAATGAATCTGCAAAGGGCTCTTCCCCACAGAGGGGAGAGATCCACAGCCTCAGGCATGCACACACCAGCCACAGAGGCAGGATGAAGACTAACCTTCTGAAACAGGTCGAGCAAATGGTCCAACTTGCTTCAGCATTTTGGGTGTCAGAGGCAATGGTCATGCTATCTGTGTTTGTTTTTAATATAAAAATGACTCATAACTGCAGTTTAAAAATTAAAAGGGAAATGACTCATCATCTCACCACTTCAACGTACCCATCATGGTTAGCTTCAACTACCATCATTTCAAAAATTCATTGTGGTCATTAGCTTCGTGGTAAGAAGTATAGCAAGGCACAGTGGCAGTGGGCGTTCCCTTCTGTTTAAAATATTCATGGAACAATAAAGTCTGCTCATATTTCAGATAGCAGTTTGACTTTCAAAACAGAATGTTAGACAAAGCCCTCAATAAATATGCTAATATGTTTTCCAATTCGTACATCTTAGGCCCAGTTTGGACTCCAGCCTATGGGAAATAAAAATTCTCGTTAGCCTTGAAAGATAACCCTCTCTGCAGGACCAGGAGCCGGAGGCCATCAAGCACTCTTTGGAGCTCCTGGGAACAAATTCTCACACACCAGGTTTAAGGATGTTTGTAGATTTTTTTTTTCCCCTGGGGAGTACAGAGATTTAGCAAGCTCTGTGCCAATATGTAAACCGCCCACATTGTTTTTCCTGAATCCTAGAAACTTAGACCAAATGTTTAGCGTGGAAACTAACACCAACACACTTCCTGGCCTGTCACTTTCATCCAGAGCTCTGCTATTTTCCTTCCTAGCCAATGGGAAGAGGGAAGCAGATGCAGAAGGGGTATTTATCTATCTTTGGAGATACCCTTAACGAGTGAGTGTAGCAAGAATAGCTTTCATTTTAGCTCAGTTTATTTTTAATTAAAATTTCTCCCCCTATTTTTTGCTTTTGGGTAAATTTTCATTCTAGACTTTGAATTTAACACTCAGCCCAGAGGATTCTAATATTAGTTGTGGGTGCATCTGTTTTAACTCTATACACAAAGCACCTATTAGGCGAACATATTTAAAGTCACTCAACCTTTACAAAGTAGCAATGAACTAAGTGCCTGTCCTGAGTCTGTCTGTGGGTCATGTATGCTCACGAGTCTGGTGGCCTAAGGAGCCAAATATTGTGGTGCTGGCATGGTGGGGACCCTCTAGCTACAGCAGAACAATGGGGGGGGGGGAAGCAGGAGGGACAGGCACCCAAGGGTGGCCTCATTTATACAATCCTGTCTCCCAAGGTGGCATTAATGCATTTGTCAGGGTGGAGCTCCCATGGTCTAATTCCATCCACATCATCACACTGAGGACCAAACGCTGAGCCTTTGAAGGACAATTATACACAAGCCACAGCAGTGGCTTTCGCCACTTCACTCATAGAGATGCTCAGAACCAGTTGAGCAGACATCTCGCCGCATCGCAGCAGACACAGAGAATGGAGTCTGTCTGCTCTCATTTGTCTCTTCATTTCTCACTATGAGTCAGAAGTATGACCCACTGCACGTTAACATAACAAGATTAGCGGGAGGCAATTGAAAAATGGCTGCCCAGCCTCAACTCAAGGTCGGCTTACTCAGCTGCGTGTTCCTCATGCAAAGGGACCCCACATATCTCTCTGTGCACACATATGCAGAATATTCATGCAGTTATAAACATACGCTTGTGTCCATGCATGTGTACAAACACACAAAAACACAAAACCCAGCATACAAAATTTATAACGAAGAAAAAAAAAAACAAGTAAACGCAAACAACAGAAGATGGCAAGGAGGGGCTTAAGGTCACACCTACTTGTGTCCTTTTATGGACAAGAGAATTGAAATTGAGAAAAATGAAGAGGAGTGCCATGGAAAAATGAAGAGGAGCCCATGGCTCAGGAACTGTACTCCAGACGTCTTGGTGCTTTCTCATCCCTTCACTTCACCTCTGTAGGGTCTGACTGGCTCCAGACTCTACAGGAAGCCCCAGCACCACCCAGGGAGGGGGTCTGAAGACAGCACCACCTGTGGTTGTCCCTGTGTCACCCACCTGCTGGCTCCTTCAGCTGTACCTGCTTGCCCGGCGACTGCTTCCTCTGAAGTACCTGCCAGGAGCCGGTCCGAGCCCTCGCCACATCTGCCACTTCACAACTGTAAGTGCCCACGTCCTCTGGACCCACGGAGAAGATCTTGAGAGAGAAAGTCTGGGCGCTTAACTTTGAGACCTGCAGCTGTCCTCGGTCTGCTCTGCCTCTGTAGTCTCTCTTCAGGTCCAGGACCCCACCAGCGTCAATCTGAGCAATTTCCTTCCCGTCGAGGAACCAAGTGCCCTGAAGCTGTGGGTCGCCTTCTCTGCCAACAACCAGGCAGACCAATTCCAATGGTTTTCCCTCGTCAGGTGAGCTTCTGGCTGTGATGCTGACTTCAAAATCTCTTGCTGGGAAACAAAAGCAAGGCAGATGTTTAGGAAGCCCACTCACTGTACCTGCCCCTTTCAGCACAAGAGGGATGAGACTCCTGATAATGATACCATGGTTGCATGCATGAAGCCTTTCAGCTCTGTGGTGGCAGTGAGTTCCCTGCTCCAAAACAGCCCCACAGTAAAAGAAAATTACAAAGTCCCTGGCCATCCTAAGTCACCCAGAAAGGACAGAATCCAGAGTTTTCTGAAAGCAGCCCCAGTAAGTAAAAAGCACACACAGATGTGTCCGGTATGTACTGGGCATGCCTCCTTAATTAGAAAGTGAAACATTTCATGCTGTATTAAATTGCTGTAAATTATGACTTCTGGTCTTCTCTTTCATTTTTGTGCTAGAGATTACATCTGGGCCTCACTGTGTGCTGGGCATTTGCTTCTTCCTCTGAACCACATCCCCCCCCCCCCAGCCCTTATTTCTTACTTCGCTCACTTGTCTGAGAAACAGCCAGCAGAATCTTCCGACCTACTGAGCACACGTGATATGGCCTTGTCGGACCCACTGAGTGTGTCTTGGGCACCTGAAGGCCACAGGATGATCTGTGGTGGAGCCGAGTATCGTATAAAGTCATTGATCTTCCACTGGGGTGTCGCTTTTCACAGTGGACACTTACAGTCTCACCTGGCCCTCTTGTTAAACCGGTGCATATAAGGAAAGCAGAAATGCCAACGGATCATGGGAGGTGATGCTATTTCACTATAAAGCTGGGGCCTGGTGGAAGGGCATCCTGCCACCAGCAGGGGCGAGGCTTCATATTGGAAACGAGCTGCTTTGAGGCCCAGCTGCCTATGCTAGGTGGCTTTGGAGAGGCAAATTCAGCGTTAGAAGCCAGCACCTCCCTGACCCCAGCAGGTGCTGGGATGTACTCAGTATGAATATGTCTGTAACTGGGGTCCCTTGCTTTTAAAAAGAGAAACCGACTACCTTGTGGCAATTATTTGGGACTACAATTAACTAATGGAGATAATGTGTTTCCCAAGTGCCTGGCAAACATGGTTATAAAACTACTTCCAAAGCTGGCTTGTAGCATCGATCTAGCTGCTTCCCATCTCTTGTCCCATATAAAATCTCCCATGAACAGAGCCAAAATGTAACATCCTGGAACATCTTCTTAGTTATGCTTCCCAGATGACAAAAAACAAAATGAACTTAAACTTTACTCTACCTTTCAGAAAAAGTCAACAAAAGGTTTAAAAAAAAAAAAAAAAAAGAAGAAGAAGATATCCCTCCATACTCACTGACAGTGAATTCACAGATTTCCTGAGGAGATAATTACCTGCCGGCTGGATCCTCAGAGCTGTTTGATCTGTCTGCTTTCTTGTGATCAAAGTCCACGTTTCATCTGGATCCTGAATCCATTCCGTGGCCTCACAGAACACCTGGCCTTGATCTGAGGGCTGGAGCCTGCCTACCGACAGCTTGAAGAGAGTGGCTCCAAGCTTGCCCAGCCGCACATCACCGGCCACGAACCTATCTTCATAGGACGGCCCAGGGGTCAATACAAAGTCCTTGGAGAGAGAAATGATCTCAACGGCTTGGCTCCCTCCTTCCTGCTTCAGGAACCAGGTGAGAGAGAGGTGGGTGTGCTGAGCTGTGGCCCTGGTAGCCTCGCAGGTGAGTTCTAAGGGCTCACCTTCCTTCTTACTGAGCGTCTGGGAGGGCATGGTGGCAGACAGGGTGTCAGGAATCACTGGAAACAAAGCAACAGCAATTGTCCTACTCGTTCATGTTCGTCTCATTAGATCTCCTCGAGGGAAGAAGATGGAGCCTAAACCTCATCTGCAAGGTACCTCCTTTGAGTTTGCTTTCCCAGCCATACGCTTCTCAAACGTGGGCTTTCCCTATTGCTGAGGGAGGATGGGAACTTGTGATATAGGATCCTGGCTTTGCTCCATCAGCATAGGCTGGAGTTTGGTTTGCTACCCAGCCACCAGTGGGAGGAACACTGGCGCCGCTGGACCTAGATTCTGGCCCTCAGCCACTTTGTATCTCACTATCTGCATGTGAGTGCATCGCTTTGTTTCTCTCCCCAGACCCTAATCTGCTTTTTCTGTTATGGACATCTAAAACAGTAATTTGTTATTTGGAGACCAAATGCAATCTTTTCCAAACTTTTCATAGCTGTCTTAGGACTCTACTATTCTCTTCTTCCTCAAATGAAAACCACACAGTCTAAGCTCATGTAAAAGCAGCACCAAGACCAAGTCAATGGATATTATAGACACTGCACTAAACACTGAATATTCCCAGGAAGCTCAGAGGGTGGTGGGAGATATTCATATAAACAGTCGATTATGACATAACTGGGTGACTGCTGGTAATCCCAGAATGAGCCAGGCATTAAGAAGAATCAAGTTGGGGATATGCCGGGAGGCAATCTAAAGAAGGTTAATGTTGAATTTACACCCTGAAGTTCATGTAGGAGTTTGTTAAACTGCAAAAGGAAACTAGATGTTCCAGGCAAACGGTAGTTGCAAGAATTTGATCTTTTCCCTACAGGTAAATGTGCTGGAAAATGGTGACTGGAAAATATTGACATCACCTATGACATTGGTGCCGGCTCACTTGTCAAGTTGCAAGATGATAAGGGGATGAGGGTACATGCAAAGATTTCTCTGATGCTCTGCTACTACCAGCGTGTGAGTGGGGGCCTTGAGAAGGCTCCACACTGGCTCAATCTGTGTGGCATATGTTGCTGGGAAAACATGAGACACCTACTTGTAACACATCTCCAAAATACTCGGAGTGGTAGGTAGGCTCTTTACCCAGAGCAAGCAGACTAGTGGAAAGCCTTTCCCTTGGCAGGGCGCCGTGATGGCAGAGACGGGCTTGCCAGGGGACTGGCTAGCGATAGCTCACCGGTTAGATTTGTCTTCGCACTGTAACTTCCAAAGTACTGCCCATCCGTGTTGGGTGTGTGGCACTCATACTGGCCAGAGTCCCTCATCTGGAGCTTTGAGAAGCGCAGCAGGACGGAGTCACCCCGCAGCCTCTGAACGTAGATCTCCTTGCTTTGCACCCTCCGGGCATACACCGTGTAAGAGAAGCCCTCATCCTTGGTACTGATGATCTGGACTTCCTTGGTCGGGGCTGCTGGCAGGTAAACAGACCACTGGAAATCCTGGGTGGCAGGTCCCTGATGCCCGCTTACGCTGCAGCTGATGCTGACAGGGTAACCTTCAGCCCGGTACAGAGGTCCTTCTTGAATTTTTACTTCCCTCTGGCCGATGCCGAGCTTAGCTTGCAAGCAGAAGGAAGAAAGGGGAATAAAAATAGATGAGTGCTCTAATTCCCGGGGTACCGCCTCATGTAGTTCTCTGTATTACCATCCTGGTAAATGAGACTGCCAGTTATTAGCTATAATCACCTCGGATCTTCACTGCCTCCCTCAGGCTGGATGGCAGTGGAGTGGCTCGGTGAGGTCATTGTCCCTCTCTTACTTAAGCTTGCATAACCCTAGTCTCCTCTTGAAAATGTTTAGCTTCAACCAGGTATCAAGGCCACATCTGCAAAGCAGTAGTTTGACTAAATGGACTTACTTGAAAGGTAATAGAATAGCTGATAATTGACCTTTGGCAGCAGTCTATGGAAAAGCAGCAAAAACTTTCTTAAGCCTCAAATTCCAGGGCATAGTCTCTCCCACAGAAGGGCTTTCAAGAGACACAAAGTCAACAGCGCTGCTCCTAATGTCTTAGTCCTTCTTGCTGGTTGGTTGCAGATATCTGTAGCTCTCAGCCATATCTGGTGCAAGGCTAGATAAAATTAGCACCGGAAATGGCAGCAACACTTCCTGTCTCTACTATAAAGGTTTTTCTTTTCTATTTGCTTTTGCTTTGTTTTGCTGTTTTTACTTTTCTAATTTCCTAGAAAGGCTCTTTCATTTTACTTTGAAACTCTAAAACAGATGCTTTATGAGGCCAAGGTTCTGGGCTCAGAGTTTAATTTTTTTCTTACCTGTGGTTTTCAGCTAGGATGTTTTCTAATTGAAACTGTAGGATATTAGATCTAAAGAAGAAAATGTGATTAAAAGGTAATGTCTATAGAAAAATGTTTTAAATTCAGCCTTGCTTTTTCAGAAACGACTCTGAGTTTGTTTCTTATGATTAATACTGAAAGTAAACTTGCTTCGTGTTTCTGAAAAAGCAGAGACCAGTGACAATGATGCCACCAGGATGGACAAGATCTGCTCCAAGGGTCCAGGAACCCTCGAAGGGCAAGGCAGAGTTGACGGACATCATAAGAGTCCATTGAGGGTGATGGCCAGCCTGGAGGAGTTGACAGTATAGAATCCTTCAGAACAGGCTCCAGAGAAGCAGAGCAGGGACAAAGAGTTAAGGAGACTCCTATGGGTAGCAAGAAAAGATAAACACAGAGCTCATAAGAAGAAAGGGAAAGGCACAGATGGAGGCTCCCCTCCCCCAAAGAGGGTAAGTGATTACTTGATAAAATCAACTGGAGGCTCAAAAACTGCATCTGAATCCACAGCTAAAACTGGCCAAGAAACTAATCAATACCCAACCACACACATTTCCAGTAATAACTTAAAAATACATCTAAGCACTCATAAATCTCAATGTTGTGTATTTATATCACACTTTTTGTGCTGACTATCTATAAATAGGAATTAGACTACATTAGAAAAAAATTAAATTATTACTTACCAGAAAGTGACTACAGAGACGTTTAAAACCTTTTTAGCAAGGCAACCTTAGTGAAATGTGGGCACTGTGCACCAGGCTACACATGAAGGAATATTTACAGCTGTGCCATTCATTGTCATCACAAACAAGGGGTAGCCCACATGTCCATCAACAGTAGAACAGATACACTGTACTGGTATACCAGAAGGTGAAATTTTATAATGAAATTAAATAAAAAGTATAATGATTCGCAATAACATGTAGGATTATGTCTGATCAGACTTGGCATACCTTTGAATCTCTTTGGCTATCTACAAAAAATATTCCATTCTTTTTAAAATTAAAAAAAATAGTTTGGAGAGATGGCTCAGCAGTTAAGAGCACTGATTGCTCTTCTAGAAGATCTGGGTTCAACATCAGAATGGCAAAGGTTAAAAACAACACATGCTGGAGAGGTTGTGGAGAATTGGGAACCCTCCTCCATTGCTGGTGGGAATGTAAACTTGTACAACCACTTTGGAAATCAATCTGACGCTTCCTCAGACAACTAGGAATAGCGCTTCCTCAAGATCTAGCTATACAATTCCAAGGCATATATCCAAAAGAGAATCAAGTACACAAGAAGAACATTTGCTCAACCATGTTTGTAGCAGCTTTATTCATAATAGCCAGAACCTGGAAACAACCCAGATGTCCATCAATGGAGGAATGGATACAGAAATTGTGGTACTTTTACACAATGGAATACTACTCAGCAACTAAAACCAAGGAAATCATGAAATTTGCAGGCAAATGGTGGGATCTAGAAAAGATCATCCTGAGTGAGGTATCCCAGGAGCAGAAAGACACACATGGTATATACTCACTTATATAGACCTATAAGATTGGATAAACATACTAAAATATGTGCACCTAAAGAAGATAAACAAGAAAGAGGACCCGGAGTAAGATGATCAATCCTCACTTAGAAAGACAAATGGGATGGACATAGAAAGTAGGAGAAAACAAATAACAAATAACAGGACAGAAGAGTACCACTGAGGGCCTCTGAAAGACTCTACCTAGCAGTGTATCAAAGCAGATGTGGAGGCTCATAACCAAACCTTGGGTAGAGTGCAGAGAATCACATGAAAGAAGGGGGACTTAGTATGACATAGAGAGGACAGGAGCTCCACAAGGACAAAATATATCAGGGCAAGGGGGCCCTCTATGAGACATTTCTCCAACCAAGGATCATGTATATAACCTAGAACCCCTGCTCAGATGTAGCCCATGGTAGCTCAGTATCCATGTGGGTTTCCCTTAGAAAGGGGAACAGGAACTATTTCTGACATGAACTCAACGACTGGCTTGCTAGGCCACAGAGGAGGACATGGCAGCCAGTCCTGGAGATACCTGATAAGCTAGGGTCAGATGGAAGGGGAGGAGGACCTCCCCTAGCAGTGGACTTGGAAAGGGGCAGGGAAGAAATGAGGGAGGGAGGGTGGTATTGGGAGGGAATGAGGGAGGGGGCTACGGCTGGGATACAAAATAAATAACCTGTAATTAAAATAAAAAAATAAAAATTAAAAAAAGATCTGGATTCAATTCCCAGCACCCACATAGCTGCTCACAACTGTCTGTAACTCCAGTCTCAGTAGAACTAACACCCTCACACAGACATCTATAAAGGTATAACATCAATGCATATAAAATAAAAATTAAAAAAAATTAAAATAAGCAAAACCACATTGTGTTGTTCAGTTGATCCAAAAGGGTTAAAATCATCTTTTAAAAAATTCATGAAGTGGTTATTATGAGAGCCGGGAAGGTGATCTGTGGGGTGGGATTACACCGTGATGATATACAGGCCGAATGGGTGGGCGCTTCTGCGGACCTGATCATGTTAGTTCTTGAACTCTGTAGTGATTATACAGCTTTTATTTTTTTTCCTTATTTGTCAAATACACATTTAATGTTTTATTAATTAGCCTTTTCTCACATGCTACATTTCACCGTGAGAATATTTTTTACCACTGAGGAGATGTCTCAGTCAGCAAAGTGCCCATTAGGCAAGTGTAAGAACTTGAGTTTGATCCCCAGTATCCAGGTAGAAGCTGGGCACAGTGGTGTGCTGGGGAGACAGAGACAGGACCGTAGGCAAGCTCAGCTGTCTGAACCAGTGAGCCCCTGGTACAGTGACAGATCCTGTTTCTAAACGTAAGGTGGCTATCTGGCTGTGACCAGCTTGGCAATGCTGGCGCTCATATCTTGGTGGTAATTAGCAGCTCCCTAGTTGGACTTGAGGCTCACTGAGCAGAAAAGAAGTCATGCTTAGTGCTGGAGACCTAGCCGACCACCCAGGGCTAGTGAGGTCGAGGGTCTTAACGAAGGACCCACTACCACCATTTTACTAAGCCAGACTAATTCCTAACAGCCTTCTAAATAGTTAGCCTCGTACCTACAGATAAGTGTAACTCTCACTGCTAATCAAATAAACTTTTTTTTGCAACAAAAGGCGCACATTACAGAAGAACACAACCAGTCAAAACACAAAGAACAAGTGCCCAAGGGGTGCCCAGCTCCAAGTTGCATTTACAACACAACTTCTGCAGCCAAGGCTCAGCTAGCATATTAGAAGAGGCGGGACGGAAAGACTATTAGTGCAAGAGGACCAGGAAATCTGCTCTGGGAATGTGTCTTTTAGAAATGACAGAGAAGCTTCACCCCAACAACACGAGTGCCTAAACAAGACCCGAGGAGGTACCATACCAATGGACATACTTACAGGGAAGAAGGAAATCTCACTGGGCCCCGGTCAAAGACAAAGAACAAGCAACTAAGGATTGTCGAGAGCAGGAGAAATGCTCATCTCCAGGAGAGACCCTCTAATTGTTCCTCCGACACCAGGTTGTCAGCCATAAATTCATATCCATACAAGCAAAACTAAATGAACTGAGCAGGTTGTCTTTATATACATACATGTACCAATGACAAAGAAAAAGATGCCATAAATTTGAGAAAGGGGATATAGAAGAGAAAAGAGAAGGGAGGATATAGAAGAGGTTGGAAGGAGAAAAGAAAGGGGGAAATAATATAATAATTATATTTTAAATTCCAAAAACTTGCAAAAATATAAAGAAAAACAAGATGGAGGGGTGTTGAGAAAGGACATTGGCCTTCACATGCACAAATGCACACACCGACACAGACACAGACACAGGCGTGGACATACATATATACAAATAAACTTTTTTAAAAGTATAGTTTTGAGGTACCATTAATCTTTTCCCATCAGGGCATGTTATATTGTTATTTTTATTGTGGGCAGCCTGGCAATGCTTTTTCAACATTTTTCATCACTTCTCTGTGAAATAAGTGCACGTTAAAATGTTTCTATTGTGGAAGCTAGCACTTCATTTTCCCCTGCTTTGTTTGGCAAGTCAATAAATATTTATTCATCCACTTAGAGTCTTTCTGATACTTTAGAGTCTAAGATATAAAGATGGGGTCATCTCTGACCTTGAGCTTAGTAAGCTAGCCAATTAGAATGGCAATCGTCTCTATGAGAAAGATATAATTGAAAGCCCCGGAGGAATTAGAAGAGAACAGAGGTGTCATAGCTGGAGGGAAGGAAATGGGCGAGGCTTGCACATGGGATGCTATCCTAGTTTCCTTACATTTCTATGATAACTTAGAACCCACAGTCCATCACTGAGGGAAGCCAGTATGGGATCTCAGGATAAGAACCAGGAAGTAGGAGCTGAAACAGAGACTGGAGAAAGGCAGCTTGATGGCTTTGTCCCAAGCTCATGTTCTGTTACCTTCTTACACAGTCCAGGTCCACCTGCCTGGGGATGGTCCTGCCCACAGTGGCTGACCTCTTACATCGGTTAGCAGTCAAGTTTCAACTGACATGCCTACAGGCCAGTCTTATGGAGGCATGTTCCGAAGTTATGATTCCGTCCTCCCTGTATATCCAGGTTTGTGTTCAAGGCGACAAAAATAACGAGCACAAATGGCATAAAGATTAGACTATGGAGGACAGGGAAGATTACAGGCCAAGTGGAGACAGAACCTTTTAGGTAAAAGAAACTTTATGACAAGATGACATGAGTTAAAATGAAAAGACCTGTTCAGAAATGGGAGGTGGTTAACTGGTGTGAAACAGGCTCAAGATTGATGGGCGGGCATGAGACTGTCTAGAAGCATGGAGAACTTGACTAACATGGGGAACAGTGTGGGGTGAATAAGGCAATAGGGACTCCACTGAGACTGTCAGAAGGACCTAAGGAAAAGCAGCCTGATGGTTGTGTGGAGAATGGCGGAAGCTGGAAACAGACATCGGTAACTTCTAGTTAAGGACAGAGGTGCTGAAGGTGCAGG